ACAGGACGGAAGTGGAGATTGCTATTAGCAATTCAGGGGTTAGCTGGTGTTGGGATAGAGGAACAGGGAGACCTTTCCTTTAGATGATACATTCGAGTTTGCTTTTCCCTTTAGCGAGGACAGTCAGAATAGACCCTGTCTATCCTTCGAAGGATGAATCTGACAGAAAGTTCCGACGCCAATGTCGCCAAGATATACTTGACTCTTTCCATCCGGATTGACGAGATTTTGCTTCATTGTCTCCTCGTGTCTCCTCTAGGACAGCGTGGCTCTATTAATTCCAATTTTCCTATTACTCAGGCGACCTCTTGGCCCAGTTAGATCAGTCTAACGACGTACCGCGCTGTCATTAAAACAGTCACCAAACACATGGACAGTACACAGAGAAAAATGGCCGACAAGTTGACAGGAATCTGAGTTCTCACACTTCTCAGATCCCTTTGTTCGATCGTCGGACAACCAATTTCCTAGGTCTGGTGGCCGCTTTTCACGCCTGATTTCGACGGTTTTCGAGAAAAGCAGCAACACCCCGGCACAGCTGTCAACGTGCGCCATTGTTGCTTTGAGCCGGGCCGGAAACGGACACCGGCTTCTTAACGACTTTTCGACACCAGTCGGGACTTCTACCTGCCGATCTCGAGGAACAAGGATGGAATGTGGACGCGGCAGGTGTGGCGGGGTATATACGCGCGAAGGGGCCCTAAGGCCCCGCAGGAAAGCCAGTACTGCGTGCAGTCGATCGGCTACGAGATAATTCGAACCGTTTTGGGTCACGAGCACGGCCAACTTCCAGACTTGCGGATACTCCAAAGAATATTTTTAGAGTTCCAACTTCTCCTGTTTTATAGTTCCAAGAATTTCGGGAGAAAGAAGCTCGACCCGTTGGACCACTTCCAATAGGAGTCACTCGAGACTCCTGTCTCTGCACTCTCCTCTCCGAGATATCGGATGTCCCTTTCGAAAGCCTGGGTGTCACAACCGACTAACCGTAGGTCCCCGATCCTAACCTCGCAGAGGTTCGCGAGGGGTACTCGCATCGCTCGTTTCCTCGGCGCAATCGTCTTACGCAACGGTTCAACGTGTTCCCAGTGACGCGTTCGATTTGCACGTCGATAGACGGATAACGATATTTCCGGCGAACAGTCCACGAGGCACCTCGGTTCCATGGCGAATGTGTGTCACGACCGAAATAATGCGCGCCGTGATGCAAGCGTGTAAAAAGAAGCTCCGAAATATGCCCGCGTGATCCGGACTTCTCGCGCTCGAGCCTGCGCATTCCTG